ATTGCAACCTTTTTGTAGTGATGCAGGGCTGGGGACTTGGTGATACTATTGTAAATGGAATGGATGTGGGGTAGAGATTTGTGCAGGCTTAAGAGGAGGGCTTGAAATGACTTCCAAATTTGTTCCACTTTTGGTACCACGTTAGTGGTAATTTATATACCTATATGACCCTCCTATCCTGTGTTTGCCTGAGAACTAAGTCTGCATGTACTTGGTTGCTGTTAAGATTGTCAGAAAGCCAGTGTCTCTTCAGTTGATTTAGAGTAGTGTTAATATGACAAATGTTAGCATTAATTGTGGTGATTCTCGGCTACACAGTGATTGTTACTACTTTTATATTCACTTTTTTTTCCTACTTGCAGTGACATCTTTTGCAGTTGATTCTTCTGGTGAGATTGCTTTCCCATGTCTTTAGCTGACTGAGTTTTGTTTTTCTTTTCTTCAACAGAGTCAGACAGAAAAGCTGGCTAAAGTCTACCAGCCAAAACGTGCCCTCTTATCCACTAAGTGCACTATTTCTGTTGCAAATCTCTTGGCAGCTCGGCAAGATCTATCAAAAATTATGAGAACAAGCAGTGGATCCATCCGAGAAAAGACTGCATGTGCCATTAATAAGGTACCCTTGGTGACAAGTAGCTAATATCACTTTTTCTGTCATGAATATTAAAGTTACTTGAATGCAGTAATAAATCGTACTTTCTTTTTATGATTGTAAATGGGAGTTAGAAATAAGAGATAAGAAACTCGACATCTGTGTACTCTAAATTGCACATCAGTGCATTAGGAGGAACTGTAGCTTTACTTGTTAAGGTTCAGAGTGCCCCTTCTTAGGGGCACTGGGAAAAAAAAAGGAAAGTTGAAACATTTGATTATTTTCAGCAGGAGTTGCCTGCTCTGTCTTATCAGCATTACTGGTGTTCTTGCATTGCTGTTGCCTAATTCTGTCATGATATCCAAAATAACACCTACATAGTAACTTTCTGTACTATATAAATAAAATCTATTAAAATCTTTTGAATATGTCACAGGTCAGATTCTCCTCTGCACACAAATGAGAGATTCTAGTCAAGTGTGTACTTTTAGTAATGATATAGTAGAAATATGATTTGGACTGAACAGTTTCTGTGTTTTAAGAATTAGGTTTTTACAGGCTCACAAAAGTACACTTATCGAACTTGAAGATCAGGAGCTGTGCACCAAAGTGTACTTTGAAAATTGTGTATTCATACATGCTTTTCTCCATTTTGTAGCTCAGGTAATGTTCTAGTTCATTTAGAATGGAATAGTGGCATAATTTAACCTCCTACTGCAAATAATTTTTGCACCTTTTAGTGTAGTTGGAGTGTGAAATTTAAAAGGAAGGAAGTGGGAAGACAGATGTGACTATCATCAGATTATATACACACCTTACTAGGAATGCGGCACTGCCCTGCTGCTGATCTGTATTCTGTTGACTTAATTCCATTATCAGTATTAAATGTCTTTCAAGACAGTAACAAAAATTAACAAAATAACCTGCTTCTGTGAGATCTTACAACTCCTAAGGCAGTTTCCCTTTCCCTTTGCAGGTTCTTATGGGGAGAGTGCCTGACAGAGGAGGAAGGCCCAATGAAATTGAACCGCCACCTCCTGAGATGCCACCCTGGCAGAAAAGGCCAGAGGCTGGTCCACAACAAAGTGGTGGCCGAGGAGGAAGAGGTGGCTATGAATCCCCATATGGAGGGCGAGGAGGTTATGACCACGGGGGTCACAGCCATGGTGGTCATGAGCGAGGAGGAAGAGGAGGCTATGACTCATCATATGGAGGACGAGGAGGTCATGAACGAGGAGGTCATGATCAAGGAGGCCATGATCGAGGAGGGCGAGGAGGACGTGGTGGCTATGATCATGGTGGCAGAGGAGGTGGAAGAGGAAACAAACTTCAAGGAGGGTGGACAGATGGTGGAGGTGGTGGCTACCAGGATGGCAACTACAGGGATAGCAACTACAGAGATGCAGGTTTTCAAACGGGTGGCTACCATGGTGGTGGTGGCGGTGGCTACCAAGGAGGAGGCTATGGTGGCTACCAGTCATCTTCATACACAGGAAGTGGCTACCAAGGGGGTGGTGGCTACCAGCAAGACAACAGATACCAAGATGGTGGGTCCCACAGTGACCGAGGGGGTGGGCGTGGAGGAGGCAGAGGTGGCCGTGGTGGTCGTGGTGGCCGTGGAGGTCAAGGAGGCGGCTGGGGAGGCAGAGGTGGACAGAATTTTAATCCAGGTGGGCAATTCGAGCAGCACTTCCAGCATGGAGGCTATCAGTATAATCAGTCTGGTTTTGGACAAGGAAGGCACTTCACAAGCTGAGGTTGCTAAAAACTTTTGCTTCAGCAGAGCTCAAATAATAAAAACCTGGTTTCAGAGTCTTGGTTTAATCGCTTTTGAATCAGTACAGGTTTGTACGTATGAGGCAGAATCTTTTGGGGTGGGATATTTTGTATTGAACTAAGTATAGCTTTCTATACTTTCCTTCCCCCCCAGTCTATCAGAATTGAATGCATCATAACTACTCACTGCACTTCACTTAATCGTAAATTAATAGTCATGCTTTTTTGATGTTGGACTTACATCTGCTCAAAACACATTGATTCCAAAACTACCTGCTGTGTTTTGCTTGACGCTTCAATTGGAAAAATTATAAAGAGGTCTAGTCAGAATTATATGTTTCAGTATACAATGGAATTTCTGCATCCCCTACCCATTGTTCAGTTATATGACCTAAAATCAGTGCTAAATATTGCTTCTGGATTGCTGTCCTCTTCTTTTAATTGAAGTTGCACACATACGCAGGTCCCCACAGCAATTTCCCTCTAGCAGACAGGTTTGTTATCTATTATATGAGCTCTGCTGTAGATGTCATGTTTGGTAGCCTTATCTTCCATTAAACAAATTTTTTCCCACCTGCTCAAGTCTGAAGACTTACCGCCGCCAAAATCTGCAAAGATTATTTAAAACTAAGCTAAATTGTGAACTGGTAGTGTACATAAGCCTGTAGTTAGGTGTAGCAATTCAAACTGACCTGCATCCATCCAAAACAAGTTGTTCCTCCTTCAAACTTAATTTTTACTTGAAATCAGCTAGAAAAAAAAGGAAGACAAGTTGAAATTATTTTATTTGCAAGTTAATACCACTGGCTCAGCAGATCTAGGGCAATTTGTTTTGGGGATTGTCTTTTTAAAGAAATGCACTACGGCCTGGGAAGTTTAGTTCCTGCCTGGAGGAAGCCCTTTTATTATTGCTGCAGAAAATAAAGCCTGGCTGAGTTTGATGTTCTAATGAATTGGTTTGTTTTTGTTTTTTTTTTCCTTTACTGAAAGCCACATAATGCTTCTTGCTGGGTTTTTTGTGTACATAAACATTGTCAAGCTGTGAAAGAAAATGGCTGAAGGTTTGCTGTTGTATAAAAGGTGAGCAATAAAAGTATCTGTATGTTGCCCTTTGCTTTGGTTTCTTTTCCTTCTGGTGATGAGTAAAAAGCAGTTTCTACAGTAGGTGGGAACTCTTAGGTATTTCTCATTGCTTCATCAATTTTTTTTTTGTTTTAATCTCTTAGGTGATCTAATCATCTCAGATGTACTGTGCATTTTGCATCCTTAAAAGCTGTCAGGACAGGAGTGAATGGGAGGAGTGGATCTTCATTGTTTTTGGTTTGTCCTCTTCCTTTCTGATTTGGTGTAGCAGCACAGTCTCCCTTGCTGGAGGTTTCCATGTGAGCTAAGCTCTGCCATCATCAGGCTGTGGCTCCTTCCTATGCCGCATGAACATGGTATGCTTCTGGGAGCTCTACTGATGCTGTCTGGGCTTGTGGGAAGGCTAGGTTCTTGCCTGGGTAGCTGTAGTAGAGACTAACCTGATGGCAGTCCCTGGGCTACTTGAAATATCCAGAAGTCTGAATTCTGTATGGATACAGATAGAAGTTCCTTGGATTACAGAAATAATATGAGCATTTGAGGAGTGTGTGCAACACTGGCCTTACTGAGATTCAAGCTGATCCTGTAAATAAGCTGATAAAATGTTATAATCGGTCTCCCTATGTTTCTTTACTTGACCAATCTGAAAAGACCCTATTTATTCTGACCACTAGGTGCTGCTAGTGGTTCACAAGCAAGAAGTGAAGGTCTCTAAAGGCATTTGGGAATCTGTTGATGTCTATTGAAGGTTTTTTAATGCTTCAAACAAATCTAATGAGGCTAACAAGGGAAAAGTTTCTGTACTGAATTCGTGTCATTGGGATCACTGAAATAGATTGATCTCAGTGTAACTACAGTTCAAATCATAAACTTCATCTAAAATGAGTGTTTCTTCATGAAGGTGTTGGTTTCTTGCAGCAACATGCTACAGATAATGCATCTCTGTTGTTGAGAGAGTAATACCTTGTTGTGAACATTAGCTGGTGACTAGTTGCATTCATGTAAGAATAATCAGTTTTTAATTACAATATTTATTTATTTTTAAGAAATAGGATTCTTGCAGCTGGGATAGTCTTAGACTGATACAGATAGATTGACAGAAGTAAACAGCCTTTGTCTGGGAATGTAATGGCTTCAAGTTGACAGATTCTGCTTTTTCTCATACAGCTTTTCATATAAGAAGACCAGTGTTCTCTGCCAGCACTGCAAACCTGTATCTAGGGAGAGGGAATCCAGTAGGCTCTTTAGAGAGCCTCTGGTTGAGCTGCATCAGCACCTTCAGAGAACTTCCTGTGGCAGAGCTGCCAGTTTCTCTGCATGGCTGTGACTTGCTGTACTGGGTGTTCTCAGCTCTGCATGCTGAGATGGTGTGGTGAAATGCTGGGGATGAAGCGACACAGATTCCCTTCCCTCTGGTTTTACCCAACTTGTTCTCAAAATACACAATTTCTCCTCCTTCTTCCAGGACCTAGGGTGAGCTTACCCCAATTTTACTGTTGTTTGAGGGGGAGCAATCTGTGGGGGGAGAGGGAGGGAAGAGGGTGAAAAAGGCAAAACAGGAGGCTTCAGTCTTCCAACAGGAAAGAAAATGCTTTGCTTTTGCCAGCTGTTGTTGTTTTCCTTACTCTGTTGTTTCCTCCCAGTGTGCTGTGACTTCTTTGTTCTCTGGAGAAAACAAACTTTGTGGGGAGAGCAGCCTTTATTAATGAAAGCAAACAGCCGCTGCTTTGTTATTGTCTGTATGATGCCCTGATAATGTTTTGCAAACATAATTCCTGCTATGCTGGAAGGAGTCTCATGACTGGACGTTGGGAGAGCAGCGATGGCTTGTGGAGGTGATTGGGCTTCTGGTAGTTTGGATATATGTGCTGCATTTCATTGTGCAATGATCGAAAGCAGAACTCCAGGAGATCAAGAAGGCAACTAAGTAAGCAAATGTTATGTAGTGGAACAAAGTGTTTTTCCTTTAAAGATGGTTGTGTTTGACACTCTTCTTTTTCTTCCACAAGTTTTGGGCATTGTGCTCTGTTCTTCCCTTGGCCTTTCTTTTTCTCCAGTAGCTCTTATTCCCTGACGTTTCACTTGCATTGCTTTCCTACTGTCTCTTAGGATGACCCTCTCAAGTGTTGTCATAGTGCAATGAAATGACCATGGGGAGCAGGATGTAGTCCTGGACACACTCTTGCTTCCCACATTAGGATGTTGGTACATGTTCTATTTGCAGTGTGGTCACAGCTGAATTTTCCTTGCAGCTCTAAGAAACCAATAAAAGTTCATTCCTTATTGTGTGCAAACCTGTAATGCAGCAAGGGAAAGAACATCAAGCTGAGCTTTCACCTGCCCTAGGGAGACTTTTGTAGCTGTTTCCTGGCTGGTTTATCATTCAGGATTGGTGTTGGTTGACCAGACAAAGCCCTGAGGTGTGCAGCTTCATGGTGGTGTGTGCCATTACGAGTAGTGGCCCCAGAGGAGCTCCCTAGCTACATGTTGGATTTCTCAGCTGATACAGGTTATTTGTTCTAACATGATGGGGTCTTTATGAAAATGCTGTTCACTTATGAATTATTCAGTGCTGCAAGTGCCCCAAACACTGCGCTGTGTTTCTTAGTGCCTACTAAGAAGTCAGTCTTACCAGCCATGTACTTCAAATGGGACTGGGAAGAGGTGGGGGGCGAAGCAAGATTCTTGCCAGTATACTGGAGCATGAAATGTTCTGTGGTGTGAATTTGTTCCCTGTGATGGGTCGTGCACCTGGGAAATAAAAATTAAACACTGCTGATTTGAGGAGAGTTGCAGAGGGATTAGATGGCTCTTACTAAGGCCTGATGACTCTGTCAGGTGTCCAGGAGACTTGTGTGGGTTCTGGGAGCACAGGTGTTGGCTCAGTTCCCTGTTAGGCCAATGGAGGCCAGCACTAAGTCTTGACTGTGCTCATTTCATGTGGCTTAGCCTTAGTTCTGCCATGTTTAAGACTGCGATGTTGTTACTGCTAAAAACTTCCAGGCCTTTAATCCTGCTGCCAGTTTTTGATCCTGCTATCTCTCATCTGATTCCCTTGGGCAAAAGGCATGCTACAAAAACATGTCTGTATTTGAAGAAGTTGAGCGTGATTTAGCAATGTCAAACAAGGTGGCTTATGATCAACTCCAAGCTTAATTTATCAGTCTCTTAATGTGCCCTTATGTTAGGATCACATCAGTGCTATGACCAGCGAGCAGTACGTGATGTGAATGTGAACTTCTGTTTCCTCTGTGCAGGCTCTCAAAATACTGATGTGTTGTTTTTTTTTCTTTTCAGATAACGTGTTTTCAAAGGGACGTAAACTGAAAAAGCAAGTGCCATTGCCAGCTGTAAACATTGCCTTCTCCTCTCTTTGGCTGAAAAAAGTAGTACCTCTAATGACTAAACAAACAAGGTTAGAAGGGAAAAAATATTTTTTCTTTTGTGTTTACTTTGTGCTTTTTACAGCTCGGAGTGCTGTCAGTGTCATTGTTTTCCCCTTTATTGTCCAGTAATTTCCCTTCTCGTCCACGTGGGTTTTTCCCACAACAGAGGAGAGAAAAACAAGTACAGAAAGTAGGAAAACACTATTGTAAAACCAGAGAAAGAGTGAGTCTGCCTGTACTGTGGGCAGGTGGAAGGTCATAACTCGTTTTCACACATGAAGCAGAGATGAAGGTGATAAGGACTCTTTAAACTTTCCGGCATTGGCTTAACTCATGGAAAAAGCAGACTCTGGCTAAATAGAACAGTGCCCCAGCAGTAGCCTTTTGCTGATGGCTTTTCTTTCTCCTAAGACTGGGCTGTCAGCAGCTGTAAATAGCAGTTTGGAGTTCAGCACAGATTTTCCAATGAGTTTAGCCTGAGAGAGACATGTTGGCTGCAATGTTTATTTTGAAAATCCAGTTCAGTTGGTGCTGATAACTAAAAAATTCGTTCCAAAATTACATCTGTTTCTCTGGTGTCCCTGTGTTGGCGAGCTCTATCGGGACTCTTGAGAAGTACTTGGAGCTGTTTTCTGTGCTGTGTCAAAGCCCATCAGTTAGGCTGATGCTGAGTGAAGCAAACCTTGAGCAGATATATATGTATATATTTTTTTTTTCTGTGATATTCACAGAACAACAAGCCCCAGTTTCTCCTGCCTCTTGTCTCCCTGAAATCTGCATTTGGATCTCCTTCCTTCCTTCCTTCCCCTTCCCCTTGGTCTCCATTGGGATCCCCTTCCATTCTTGGTGTCACGTAAAGAGGGAGAGCACTCCTAGCACTCTTCTTCCCACACTCAGTCTCCATCTGTCTGTTCTTTGTTCTCTGTGGTGTCGTTTTTCCTGTGTCTAAGTTTCCTCACATGTAGATATTTCACATAAGCGACACCTGAAACATTTGGATCTTGGGTCCCAAGTGGGAAGGATCCCCATCTGGCTGCTCAGGATGCCCAGGCAGGGCTGTTCAATTCCCTGTGGGGAAAGCACTGGTGGCTTCACCAGGATCTGTGTTCACTTTGGCTTGTGCAGAGGAGTCCCTGAGCCATGGGGGTGACAGCTCACTCCATTTCAGAAATGTGAAACCTTAGGCAGCAGCTATTCCGGAACCTGACTCTGCAGCTCAGATTTTTATCCTCTGCATTAAAAGGAAAAAGGCCCATCTCTTCAAGTTTGTGCTTTGAACTAGCTTTGTTTAGCATGCATGTTATTGTCCCCTTTCCCCTCTCAACTTTTCTTTTCTCTGACTTATGCTGGCTGAGAAATACTGCTTTTAGAAGTTAACTAGTCTAGGAATTTTATTTATTTATTTATTTTTAATGGAGCTGGAATTATTCCTTTAAAATCCAAAGGCTGACTAAGGTGTGGAGGAAGGAGGGGCAAGACCTGGAGCAAGCGACAGCTGAAATACTGACATTGTTTTATGGTTCGCTCAGAACTAGTTGTTCCCTTGACTCCTTACACAGTGGTCAGGGCTACTTAATAAAGCTGATGGCAAAGCTGAAACTCCTTTATTGATAACACAGGATGTTGTCTAGGTTTTGTGGAAGCACAAATTCCTGGTGGGTTTGGCATGAAGAGCCACATCATCTTTTAGAGGGTCTACCCTACACATTTGTATTTCTCACCTGCTCTCATTGCTTGTATTCTTTGTCTTTCACAGATAAAGCTGTAAATACAACTTGGCATATAAATAAGGTTTGGTGTAGTGTTTCTTCTTCCCATTCTTTCAAAAAAAAAAAAAAAAAAAAAAAAAAAAATTGCCCCTCTTTCCACCTGGAGATTGAGGCAGGCAAGAATGGTGGCTGAGGAAGTATCCAGCATCATCTGGATTCTTCTCACTTCAGCTACTTCATGAATCCAATGCACGTGACACTACTGCACCTTCTCCTTGAACTGCTCTCTTTGCAGACAGGGTTTCCAAGAGCAGCAGAGGTGTATAGCGCAGTTGGGGATGGTAATGGCTGGCAGGTTTTGCCTTTTGTGAAATCAGGAGAATCAAACAAGAAATTCTTTGTTGCCGTGGCCAGGTTAGGAACTAAAGTTGTTTTTTGTGAGATGAAGAAAATTCTTGCCCCTGCTCAGGAGAAGACATTGACTGTACAGCAGGAGAGAAAAAAGACTTTTTATTTTATGTATTCAGGCTTCCTTCAACGTGAAGAGCTCGTCTTACACCAGCTTCTTAAAATGTTTGCTCCTGCCCTGCGAGCTCTCCCTGCTCTCAGTTGTTTGTAGTGGAACTAAAAAATCAGGATTCTGCTGCGAACAGCCTGTTAATGCATTTTTTGTTGAAAGATCATGTTGACTGACAAGTCCAGCTTTTTTTCAGAGCTGGCTATATATATTTCTACCCAATGTCTTTCTTCTTAACACACTTGTTATTCTCCTTCTTGAGATGCTTAAAGCAAAGGGTTTCCAGCAAGAACCTCAAAATTCTCATGAGCCTTTCTTGGACATCCTAATGCTCTTCTTTGAAGGATCAGTTGTGTGTATACGTGTGTGCGTGTGCGTAACCTGTGCTTGATCTACAACTTAACTCCAGCTACTGCTGCCCAAAGGTGCTGGGCTTTTAGAAGATGCATTGATGAGATTTTGCAGTGGACAGAAACTCAAGCAGTCTAATTGCAAGTGGAAAGTTGCCCAGCAGTGAGAGCTGCTTCTATAGAGAAAGTGACTTTTTGCTTAAGAGCCAGTTTCTCTCTTGATGATGGTATACATAGGAAAAATATGTCCTTTAGAAAGCCTTCTTGGAAGGACATAGAACACCTTGTCTTTTAACCAACTTAGACAAGAAGACTGTAAATAGCTTGAGGAATTACTAAGGTTATGTACTGGAAACTTTCTTGTCTAACAAAGAAAAACAGATGGGGGTGTGGATTGTGGGCCTGACAAAATAGGAGAGCAAATACATTTCAGACCAAGAGCTACCATTGACTTTAGAAGCCTGTGAGAAATGGTCTGAGCATTGGCTAGAACTCTTGCATGACTGAAGAATGAGTGAAGAATGGAGTTTCACAAGAACATTTCATTTATGAAGTGTTAAAAGGCTTATCTCAACAGATCCATCAGCAACCTGGATAGCAACTGAATTTCTCTATTCAAATGTTCTACCACATCATTTTCATTGTGTGCAAGCTGCGTGCTGTAACGGTGCCTGAGCAGTCAGTGTGTGGTGACCCATCACCTGACCCATCACAGACAGCACAGGATGCATTTCTGCTAGTCTCTGCTCTTTGCCCACAGCAGGAGAGAGAGAGCTAAGGATGCTTCTAGCCCCAGTTTGCTGTAGTGCTTATTTCTGAGTTTCAAGCAGTAAGAGCACATTCTGCATTTTCTCCTCAGATTTTTACCATCGTTACTGGGAGGGGTGTGAAACAAAGGAAACCTGCACAGCTGAGCAGGCCCCATGTTGGCACAGCACAGTGTACAGTTGGATTACCACAGAGGAGTCAGTCAGGTTTGCTTAGGGAAGCCAATGGAAGCCCTCCTTCGCCCTGAGGCCTTGACCCCTTGGTAAAGTGTGCAATGACTTGAATTTTGTAGGACATCTTATACTCGGGTTGCTTTGATTCAGAGCCTGAGTTCCCCATACACATCTATTTCTGTGGGGAGGCAAAGGGAGAAGAAGATGACAACTTATCTGCTAATTTGGACCATGCTGTTCAGGTATGAGCTTTGTCTTGGGCTTTATTTTCCTTGCTTTTTCCATGTGAAGGCTGTACTTTTCAGGCAACTTAATGCTTCTGAGAAATCCCACTTCAAACCTGCTTCTCCAGTCACTGCAGATGGAGGAGTTAGAGCCTACCTTAACAAACTTAATTTGGATGTATGCTTAGTGTCATATTTTAGTCTTAACGTGTGACTTGCTATCCTGAGGAAAAATGTGAATTATTATATGCACATCCAGACACATACTTAAAACTAAGACATTTATTACACTCTAATTCTACCCATAACCAGTGCTGGCAGAGAGGACACCTCTCCTTTGCAGTATCACCAAACACCTGCACGATGTCCTGGAACTTCCTCACTTCCAGCCACATGCTTGAAGGAGCCTCCCTCTGGTAACAGCTATTGCTGTGCTGGATGTGTGCTCATCGTAGCAATGTAAATGTGTCCAAAATTCAAAACCCCAGGTGTGCAAGGGATTTCACTGTAGAGGACTTTATGAAAGGAGTTGTGGGTTTTTCATTTTTGGTGGTTTTTTGTTGTTGTTTGTTTTGTTTTGTTTTGTTTTGTTTTGAGATTTAATCAACATCCACACCTACTTCTTTCCTTAAGAGATCATTACAAGCCTCTGAAAAAGGAGTCTTATCAAATGAATGCGGATGGTTGGCTTCTGTCCTCACTGCTGTTGTTCCTGGCAGGCATGCTGAGATGATGCAGTACTTTTAAAGGATGCCAAATATATCCTCACTGGCATGGAGGGGAAGTTTCCACAAAATCATACAAGAGAAAACACTGAGTGCAGAGATCTGTTCTGCTGTGTCTGTGCAATGTTCTTCCAAATGGCTTAATCGTGTGCGAAAATAAATAGTGCTTTTTTTAACACCTATCAGCTAGGAAAACAGGGTGATGGCTGAATTTAGAAGTATGAGGTACAGGAAGATTTCCCATGACCAAAAGTGGTCTATGGCAGTCTGTCAACTTTTGCTGTATTACTATAGTCATCTCTGATTTTTGGTGTTTCGGGGTGAGCAGTCAGCTATCCTGTAACCAAAAGAAAACAAACACTTACATTCTAGCAAAAATTATCAATCAAAACATGAGGCCACGAAAGCACAAACTGTGGGTGGAAACAGGTGGAAACCAGGCTCCTAACCTGGACACACATGTTTATCAGAATGCTCCTTCTTATGGACCTTGTGCAGAGTACAAGAGGATTTGGCCAGATATGTTAATGATTCTCAAAAATAAAAGATTCCAACTCAAAACAGCACTGTAACTCCAAGCCAAAACCCCATTTGCAATGCTACAGTAAGTACAAGCCACTGTGTAAGAAAAAAAAAATAATATTCCATGGGTGATTTGGTATTATGACTTACAAGGCTATGGTCTTACGGGTTAGCAGAATGTAATCTGTCCTGACCTCTGTTCTGCTCACCTCAGATTCCTGTCTTTCAGGAAGCGTTTCTATGCCGTTGTGCTCCAGGATGTGCTGAGGAGCCTCAGCATCTATGTCTACGTTGGCCTGCATGCTGGGCTTTTCATTCTCCCACTTTGCAAAGCCTTTGTTCTTCCCAGCTTTGCCGTGGAACTTGGATTTCATTTTTGGGAAAGTGTGAGACCCTGAATCACTCCAGCCCGGTTCGTGCCACAGCGGTTCCGTCTGCGTTGCTTGGCTGGCTGTCGCCCTCTGCAGCCGCACTGAAATCTTCCGGGAGGAGCCGGTGACAAGAGTGATGGCTCTGCCGTCGAGGTCCTGCTGTTCTGCATCGACGCTGGGAAACTCAAACACTTCATCCTGGGCTGAACAAGAAGGTAAATTCTTTTCTTTTTAAATATTCTCTTTCAAGATCTTTATAAAGAGATATCTTAAAACTTGGTTAAGGGGAAGGGAAGAAGGGATTTAAGGGTTCAGAAGAAAATGTTTGTTATTCTGGAATGCTTATGGAAGCTTTTAGTAGTCAGATCTCTTTCAAGACTAGACTATGTGCCACTGTATGCAATTGCATGATGGTTTGCAATGGTGCGTTGGTACAAAGGGAAAATGACAAGTGGCAAATGAGGACAATGCCTTTGAAGAGTCATCATAGAGTCATTTAGGTTGGAAGGGACCCTCAAAGGTTATCTAGCCCAACTCCCCTGCATAAGCAGGGAAAGAAAATAGAAACAAAAGGGTGCTCTCACCTGGTGGCAGGGAAGGGCTGCTGGGCAGGGAGCCGTGGTTGCTGCCCACAGAGGTTCCTCGGGAGAATTTCCTGCAGGCAAGCACGAGTAGGTCCCTGCACTGCTTGTGGCAGTTGGCACCGCAGTCTGTAGGAGGGGGACAGTAAAGTCACAGCCACTGGGTGATCCCTCGGGGCTGTCAGCACGTGTGTGCTGGAGGGACTTAGCCAAACAAATATGGTTACAAAAGTGGATCATTTGTTGTGTTTAAAAACAGTAATATTATGGCATTCCAGCAGCAGAAGGAAAGAGGGAGATGATATTGTCATCAGAAATGATGACTTCACAAGTGCACAAAGAGCAGTGGTTAAGAGTTCTCATTTCTCCCATCAGTTTGTTGCTTTGAGTGGCACTGAAGGACCCTCCCTACTGTGGTTTTGCAGTGGGTGGTACAGATGGGAACAGGCACTGGCTGCACTGTTGACCACCAAGATCTGAGCAAGAAGCTCAGCTCTTACCCTCATGCTTCACTGCCTGTTAGTTTTGATTCTACAGAGCCGCTTTTGCTCTCTCCTCCCTGGGCCGTGGTTACAAGCAATGATGCAGGACAGCGCTCAGCTTTGAGATCTCAAGTTGAGTTTACAGAGCTGCTGTGGCAAAACTTTACTTTTACCTTCCTTCCTGCAGCCTGATGGTAAGAGCATAGCCCACAGCTGGCTCTGTTGTAGTTGCTCAGACCATGGGCAAGTTCCCCACCCCTGCAAAGGAGAAGTTCACGTGTGGGATAAGGAGACAGGAACAGGGAGTGTCCTAAAAAAACCATCCTGTCAATCCTTCACCCTTCTCCTAGGAGCCAGGCTAAGACTAACGGGAAGGAGCTTGCCTATAAACATGATCATGAAGCCCCAGCATTGTGCATAACAGAGCTGCAGCCAGAGAAATAAATAGGGTTGGGCTTTTGGGGTCAATGGACCACTACAGCTTTCTTGTTCTCATCTGCTTGTTACAGTGTGAGCAATTAAAAAATTTAGTGAAGGAAAGTGAGAGATATGAGAGTTCTGGGACTTTTTTTTAAGCTGAACTTCTGCAGAAGATCTTGCAATGACATCTGCTAGGCAGTCCAAGAATTAAATATTTGTTTATTTCTAGCTCAGCCACTGATGCATTGCATGGACAGCAAGCCTGCAGTGCAGGCATGGGGATGTACATGATATGGACAGTGCTGCCAGCAGACCTTTTCCTGACCCCATGGTATGTATTTCAGGATGTCTCCCTGCTAGGACAAGGACACTCGGCTTTCCAAGATGCCACTTCTTGTTGGCACAAACTGACACCTTGCAGATCCCCTGAAGATCCCAGGGGCTGCTGGGGGAGGGGGGCCTTCAGCACTGGTGTTCTCCTGCTACAGTGAGGCTTTGTGGGATGCAGCAACCACTTGCTGGTCACAGCCAGTACGGGCTACTCAAGCAAAATCTGGCTGCCACTTCAGTGAAAAATACAGTTGACTTCTGCTAAAACCCACCACCTGAATTGTGAAAAATCCATGCAGTATATTTATTTACCTTTACATTTGTAGCCTTGTTTGATTATACCCCAGAGCTGCAAAGACAAAAAAAAAAAAAAAAAAAAAAGTCAAGGAATCAGAAAAGAAAGCCGGACGGAAAGCGAGGTCACAATGAGGAAGTACCAATGGCTACAGAAGCACAAACAGGATACAACTGCTCTTAACACCCTTCCTGTCAGGCAGACCTCCTCCTCTAAATGTGATAAGCTTTGTGTGGCTTCCCCCTTACTTCTGCCTGCAGTGGGACTACTGGAGAAGCAGCGGCACAGCTGATGCGTACTGCCAGGAATGGGTAAAAGAATCACTGTCCTATCAGGCTTACAAAATCCAGCAAAGCACATTCTGCTTCTGGCTTGTTTTGAGCCATCTCAGGGATCATTCCCATGACACATCTGGCCTCCAGCCACATGAATGGGCCTGTACTCTACAAGCATGGCAGACAAAAACACCACTGGGGACAAAGTCACTTTGTGGCTTTGGAGCTGGTTCCCAAACATGGACTGATCCGTTCACCTGACTTCTTCCATTAAGAACGGTCGAAGCCCAAAACAGACAGACAATTCACTGAACTCCTCTTTGCCTCCTCCCAGAGGCTGTCCTTATTGAATGTTGGCCTTCCATGTGGCAGCGTGTGCGTGTTCTGCTTTTGGGAAGCTGTCACTGTGATGTGAACTTGGAAGTAGAAAAAAAGATCCCCTGCAAACTGTTATCTGTACACTCAGAAGAAAGGTAACTACAACAGTGGCATTATAAAAACAAATATTTTCACTCTGAACAGCAGAGGGAGGAGAGTATAGTCCAGTTCTAAAGGAAAAAGATGAGAGACTGTAGTGTTTGTTTATCCTGAATTCCCTCAAAACATAAATAGGGAAGGTGAGCACAACTAGACAGTTGAAGCTGCATGTGGCTCCTCTATGAAAGTATGCAGTGTGTGGGAGAAATGTGCTGAGTAAAAGAATGGCCAACAGGAAGAGCCACAGTCCATATGGAGCACAAAAGAAAGAGTAAAAAAACCCTGCATATTGTGTAAGACAGAACTGCTTGCGTTTTTCCAATTAGAGACAAGGATATTGTGTGGAACCATATAAAAAGCCTTGCTGAAGTCCAGGTAGATTACATGAGTTGCTCTTCATCTACTACTGCCATCCCTCCTTTGCAGAAGGCTACCAATCTGGTCTTTTCCCGCAGATGCTGTAGATGTGCAGTGACTGTGGAGCTGTGGTTGGCCCCTCCTGGAAAAGCCACCCCTGGCTATGCTTTCCTCAGCTCTTTGCCAGATCCACTTGATGGGGTGTGGATTACTTTTCCTGTTGTCAAAGCTCTGCTCTGTTCCCTCTGGAGAGCTTTCTCCTTAATGTAACATGAATCCTGACCTAAAACTTTGAATCCACCTGACACGGCTCTATGACAAAGCTGCCTTCAGCCAGGCCCAGGGTAAGAGGATCTGTGCAAATGTGGACGGCCAAGCTGGAGGGGATGGCTGCTCACTCACCCTGACATGGGGTGCAAGTCAAGCTGTGGGTCGGAACTGAGACTGGTAGCGAGAGTATTGATTTCACTCTGTGAATGGCATTAGATTGTAGCTTGACCTTTAAAGTTCATCTTGTTTTAATATTAGATGTTTGACTGGTACTGGAGCCAGTGGGCTGTCACATCCATTCATCCTGCTGCATGGTCAGTTCACATTTTTTTGACGGTGAATCACTGCATCAGTTCAAAACAGTTTCCACCCATGGTTGGTTGGAGAGTGCTGAAATGCACAACAAACACACAGTGGCTGGTGCCTGTCCTGTCAGCCCAGCTCATCCACAGGACAATGCTAGTGAATGCAGTGAGCTGGCAGGAAAAATGACCTTATTTCCATTTCCTCCCCAATCCCTTACTTATTTTTGTTCCTGTGCCAGTTGTAATCATGAAGACATGGAAAAAGCCAGCAAGCAAACTGATAAGGGAGAAAAATATCTGGTAAAGAGGACATTGCAGGACACTCCTCAGCCCAACTTGGCGACGGAAGCCTTCCAAGCATGAACTAACTGTCACGAATGCAATGACGTCTTCCTAAGGCAGCAGGCAGCCCAAAACAATAGGCTCAGGCCAGTTCCCAATGTTCTTTCTTCTGGAGTGGAGCTGCAGAGCCTGCCTGCAGGCTTCTGAATCAGCACTGACTGTCATCTTTGAGGCTTCTGCAGTTCCAGTGGAAATGGGCAGAATTCCTTCTTCCCCAGCCTTGATCAGCAGCTGCGATAGGGAACACGAAGGTCCTGGTGTGATGGGTGCCAAGCAGAAGTGAGGGAAAAGGGCCAGTCTGAGATGAGGTATGTTTTTGTACTTGGTGGTGCTGTCATTGTAACTTTCAGCCACGAAGAAGTATGACTGAGTGGGAAAGGTCACATAGCAGAAGCAGGATATTTTGCTGCTGCTATATGCAGCAGGCTAGCATGGTGCAGCAGGGACATGTTCTGGCTTCACACCCTGAGCTGGGCCACACGTGGGCAGAGCAGGAGCCTCTGCCCTGGTGGCCTCCAGCCTTTCTCACTCCTCTGGGTGGCTGCATGCAGATGTGCACAAACATGCACATCTGCTGCATCCATAAGTGACATCTAAACTATAATAATTCATGTTTCTGTATGGCACTTGAAGTGGAAAAAGTTGGGAGAGGTTTGCAAGCCACACAAGCACTCACATTTTGTATACAGCACTCCAATAAATGGTTTCTTATAAGCCATAAGCAGCTTAAAAAAAACCCAAAACATTCAAAAGTTTCTCATGTTATAGAACTGCTGGCAGCCCGTTTCTTGACAAAAATAGAAGTTCTGTTAATTCAGTAGAGAAAGGATAAAGGCTGTTAGGGCTGTTCAGAAAATTATGAGCGGAGGTATGATGCCATATGCATGTCCTGAGACAGAATGGCTTTTGCTTCATCTACATCTACCATTCCAGACATCCATTTTCCCTGGAGTTTGTTTACATGAGAAATCAAGTTGAATTAAAGAAATTAAGACAAACCACATGAGGCCATTCATACAGTCCCTAATGTCCCTTAGCTAACGTAGTTTATCTTTTTACCTGCAACAGCAATTCTTACAAATGTCAGTATACAGGAACCACCAAAACACAAGTGGGTTCTGCAGCTACAAAAGGAGGAAATACCTTGTGCTTCCAAATGCAATGAGACATTTGGCTAAGCTGAAGAAACTTCAACAGTGCATGGAGCCAGGTTCACCCCATCTACACAGGAGTATAAGAAATTATGAGTAAGATTTATGATTACAAAAACATACTTACAAAACCTGCGCAGTGTTCACAGAAAGTTGGCTTAAGGTAGGTCATCTCCTGGAAGTTGTGAATAAACCCAGGTCCCATTTTACACTGGAACTGGGATTTAGCTCTCAGAAAATAAGCCATCATTTCTTCTTTGCTTATGAGTCCATCTCTGTTAGGAAAAAAGTAGAGTGGATCTGTTACTGCTAATGACACTGAACCCAGCAGTATGTTCTCGCTACAAAAAGCATGCAGCACGCAAAGGATGTTCTTGGAAAGTGCTAGAACAGTCCTGGTAGAAGAAACAAGCTTTCCCTTAGAACCCTTGTGGTTCTGATTCTTCATTAAACTTCAAACACCGAATTCATAGCATGGGCCTTGGTCCTTCAGTTGTTCAGGATATCAGAGAATTTGGTGGCACAGAGCAGGCCATCGTGTGAAGGAGACTCCTGAGGCCTATGGCCACCACTGCCTCAGCCAGCCGTGAAGAGCTTATAGGTTGGTGTTAGTCACCAGTCTACCAAATAGCAAATGGAGTGCTCGATGGCTATAGAACAAGAGGCCATGAGATATGGGAAGGTATCTAGACAGGACCTGCATGCTAAGTACTGGATCCAAGTTCCCAAGTAACCCAAGGTTTTACCGAACACAGTTCAACAAAACAAACAAAAAAAACCTTTGTATGTTATTTAAACAGAGCTTTTAGCTACTTCCCAGGCTGTGAAGATCCCCAGCTCTACTAAGCTGAAAGCCTTGGCTGGAGGCGTTCAGCTGCCAGACGTATCCACAGATTCATGTGGGGCACTGCAAGGGAACAACAAACCAGGCAGCCTGGGGAATTCAAAATGAAGGGACTGCCCAAACACATCCTCCTGCTGCTCAGTCTTTTGGAGCACATCCTTACATCACAACTGGCTACACTCAGTCTTTCCCTTGGCAGACAGGGCTGCATCTATTTGAATAGATGCTTTTTAAAGCATCAGATAAAGTAGGACTCCAGTCTGGGTGAAAGTATAGGACCTACTTAACATAAGAAGTTAAATGAGAATAGAATTCAACATTCAGTGATACTAATTTCCTTAAGAGAGAAGACAGACATGAGAGGGTTGGAGGTCTGGAAGACATTGCCTCTTCAACATTTTGTTTTGAAGCATTTGTAAATTAAGAAAAGAAAAAAAAAAAAGCAAAAAGAAAACAAACTAACAAACCAAGACAGCTCCAAACTTACTGGTCTTTGTCCAACACACAGAAAGAGTCCAAGAAGGGGAAGTTTGCAGCTATACTTTCAAAGTCTTCCTGAGAAATGTAGCCATCATGGTCATGATCATAGTTTCTAAAGACAGACTGGAAACAGAAGGAAATTATTGTCATACCACCCAGACTGTCCTGAATCTGTACTATCTCTTCAACCTCAATCACATTTATATTAATATTCAACTTTACTAATCACATGTTCTATCCATTGTTTTATTACTATCAGTGCTAATTGGCACTTTAATATGCATATTTATTGGACTGCAGAGGGGAAAAAAAAGGCTAATTTTTAAAGAAAACTTGACCTCAGTACTTAACTACTGGAACTCCTCTACACCTCCTCAGTCATAGTTGTGCATGGTATTATTTCTTCTTTTTTTGGAAATGTCACTAAAATTCTGCCCTGTGTGACGTGTTCCCTTTGTTTTATTAAGAATATCACAAAAAGGAAACCAAGCACAAAACAACCCAACAGCAGATTTCTCATAGAATTGTAGGCATTTTTGGATTCACTTTGCCTTCAGTCAGTCACTTCTGCTCTGCCACAGTGCTGCCACAGTGCTGTTTCAGTCCTATTTTCTTACTAATACTTTGACATCCAGATCACAAGTACTTTCCATCTAACAACTACTTCCTCCCTCAACCAGCTCCCTCTGATCACAGGACCTCAGCTACACCAAGTAGAGATAGATATGGGACCGAATTTAAAGGATTGCATGAACTTTTGCAAGCCCTCTTTAGCTGTTGAAGAATTCCTATATCCTGTCTTACAATAATTGAGGAGATCTGTAAAGGGACATTAAAGCATTTTATACTGAGACCAACACATTGAAGCACAACCCAAGGCAGCTAGCAAATGACAAAGACTGGAAAAATGCTGACAGTTGTACAGGGTGATGTGGGTCTCTTTGTGAGCTGTATCTATAACCAGTCTGTGTTTTAATTCTGCGAGACTCAATATCGTGTGTCCTGAACAAGGCTAAAGTTGTGGAACAGGGGCCTGCATTTCCCTTGGCCACCATGTTCAGAAAAGATGAAGGAGTTGCAACGGATGTGGTTTAAACAAGGAGAGTTTTGGGTGATTTTTATCAACACGTGACAATGGCAACAACAACATAGGAACACCACGTGCAGTTCTGGCATCTTTCTAAGAAAGAAGAAAACTGTTTTCTGTTTTTTTGAAAGAGCACCTACAAAGAGGAAACCAAAAAATAGATGTGTAGTCTGGTTGAGTGACTGAAGACTTTAATTTACCTTAACTACATAATCCCATTTATTGACCTCTAATATGGACGAGATCAGAATTTAATAGTTCCCCCCAGAGTTAGTTATTAATTTGTGAAAAGCAGAAGGAGATCTTGCTTCATTATCTACAGCGCATTCCTGGTTCCTCACCAAAAGTCCCTCACACGCCAACACAACAGGGCTCTGTCTCTCCAACGGGGCCTTCCACTGTGTAGCTTTGTTTGCATCATTCATCATGCCTCCTTCATTCTGTAGCTGCAAGACCACAGCTGGAACTCTTTGTGACCTCGTACCAGATTTTCAAAGTGACACCAAGACTGTACTATCTTTACTATGCATAATACACTTTGGACAGCTTGGCCACCAGGCACTGACATACCGACACCAAGAAACCAGCCTCTTGCCAGCAGATAAGCACAGTAGAATGCTTGGTTCAGGGGAGGCTTTCCAGAAACCTTCTCTGGGCTTAGTGATGTGTGAGTCCTTGAAAATTTGCCATTTTTGCCTCTGGAAACCTGCTTAATAAGTGTTAGCTCTGATTTCTGGACTAAAATAGAAATAGTTCTGAACGTATCAGCAAGAGCTCAAATTCATTAACAGATATTTAAAATTTATCCCCATCACAATAATTGCTCAAAAACCTTGAATGAAATTGTTTACAATGATTACAGTATCAAAATGAACATTCCCTTTGATATATTCTTTTGAGTACTTACATCCACTAACTTTCTTATGTGCTTGTTGATGACGGTTGGGTCAGGCTTAGGTACCACTCCAGATGCCCATTCCAGTGGCACCACTGGTTTGCTTGGGGTTGTTGGGGAGGTAGGCTGCTAGGAGACCAATCAAACACAACGATGTTAGAATTTGAATTATGAAATGTGAGTTCTCATAACAAGCAGCACCATATGGCAGCACTGCAGCCAACTTCAACAGCAGTGAAACTTGGGGGCAGGAAGGGGAGTCTCTGGACACAATGAGAATCAAGAATAGCATAGAAACCTAATCTTCTTCATCTTGAGAGAGCCCCTATGGAGCCTGCCATCACAAGAGGGAGATAAATAAGCCTAATGAAAAATGTTATATTATTGTGATAATAAGGATATTGTAGACTTTCACAAAAGGGTCACAAGGTCATACTATACTGTGTTTGATAGGAAAAAAAAAAAGGATGTGCTCTTGACTCACCATATTAGTGTGCTGAGTTTAAGAAGAAAATACTCCCTATATCCACAGAACTGAATTCCAACAAGTAACACTCAACACTCAACTCATGTCAATAGCACTTATGGAACATTTTTAATCCTAAGATTAATGTCACCATACAGTGATGAAACAACCTGCTGGCAAATATTTTTGCTCTAAAAACACACAGGAATGCAGCAATCTTTTAGAGACAACGTGTTATACGATAACACAAAACATGCCAGTATTGTGACATCTGTGGTTTGATGTGTTCCTTCTCTCAAAAAATATTTAGGTTAATGGGACTCAAAGAATTAGCACTCTGGTGCTGGACTACTACAGACTCACAGAGAGCTCCTGCTGCTCTGAGTACACACAGTGGCAGAAAGAAACCAAATCCACTGGAGCATTCCTCTTTCTTCTGAACAATCAAACTCTCTCTCTCTCTCTCTCTCTCTCTCTCTATATATATATATATATATTTGGTGCCAATGCTTATATGTTGGCATTGAAATCCATCTTATACTGAAGCAAAAAATATCTATGCTAGTGCACCCTCAGTGGCAGAATTGTGCTGGGCAGAGATGCCCATAAGCCATTGGCTGTACAAGCAAAAAAAACCCAACAAACTAGGTAGTCCCTGGGTATTCACTGAACACAGCATCAAAGTCTCCAATAACAGCTGGGTACTCATACTGCTTTGTAATTCTCTTCACTTACAGTGGTGACCCACTCCTTCCACAGCACAGAGCTGTAATTGCCCAACTTTACTGGCAATGAAGGAAGCATGAGGGAGCCAGAATAACTGTGGCAAAGGGAACAGTTGTGGTCAAATTACATCCAATGCGGACAGGAGACTCATCAGCGAAATTCCAGGTATTCAGACTGAATTAGTGCTGACTGTGGAACTACTCAATATTGCCCATCATCCTCCATTGAAACCACACACATGCAGTCTTCAAGCTGGTCTCCAAAAGTGATGAACTATTCTTAAAGTCAGGTAAGTCCTATACTTAATAGCTAAGGGCTTTTGCATCTTTGTTTCTCCTTTTAAGAAGATACAAAAGTATAAAAAGCACTGAAAAGAAAGACCTCCCAGTACTGGTCTCCCCCTCTCACACCCCACTGTGCATTTCCAGCCACCCTTATTTTCAGCTGGTGTCAGAGTGAGAGCTCAGCTTGTGAGGATCATGTGCTGGATGTGACAGGCAGTGAGGGTGCTGAAATGCTCACAGGACAGAGGAAGTCCCAAAAGCTGGTAGCTGGAGAGAGAGCAATACTTTAAACAAAATGTCAACTATTAAGATGTTTATCTCTAACTTAAAAAGCATAATACGAAGTGTACCAATGCAGCCTTATCTTGATAGGCGCTTATAAAGGTTATCTTCACATAAAGCAGAACTCTGCTTTCTAGAGACTTCACTAAACTCTGGCTAGTTTCATTCTTCTTTACATATAGAATCATACACAATAGAAAGTTTAAGGTGAATATGAAAGAAACTGATTAATGGACATTCAAAAAATACAAAAAAGCTTCATGCAGAAATACTAAATAATATGAAAAAAATGCGGTAAAAGATGACCTACAGATTTGGAGTTCCTTGGTTCTAGCACCAGTGAGAGCTTGTAGATGTCATCCTCTGTGTGATAGAGGTCCAGGGACAGCTATGGGTAAGAAAGAGAGAAAGACAGTAACATTTATTAGACAGAGTCAGATACAACAGGTTTGTTAGCAGAAAGATATCTCCCCCTGGTACTAAACACCAGAGCAGGTGCCCAGGGCCATGCCCAGGAGGCTCTGGGCAGCTTGTGCCTGGTGTTCAGAGGGAGCTTCCAGTGCTCTGGTTTAGCCCACTGTCTTTTTTACTGGTTCTGACTCTATCCTCATATCCAAGGATACTTCAGTAGTCCAGTTTGGCCCATTCCTGGTCCCCTCATGCTGAGCAACACAAATTCCCTTTCAGCTTCTGTTTCTAGGTAAAATTTAAGATTTTTCTTTCATGTACTCATCCTTTTCGCTAGAGGATTTGCTGAGGGAAAAGAAGGGACTTAAATACAGTGGAAGTAAAATGAACATTTTTGCTTTGGCAGCTGTGGTCGTGCAGTGGCACATGTCTGCAGTGAACTCTTCCTCACTGAGGTGATCCCCGCTGTGGCCAGTTTTATGCAATGAGATGAGCATTGCATGCTTCCTGTGGTCATCTCCTTGCATCAATTGGCTTTGGATTAATTGGCTTGATTTGAAGTTATCATCCATCTTTCAAATCCCTAGTTAAGCTGGAATGTTCCACAGCAGGCAATGGAATTACTACTGTATAAACAGCTGTAACAGATGATTATTTTCAGAGAACTTGAAGAGCAGACTTAGTAAGGAGCAGGACCAGGCCCAATAACCATCTTTCCTTAGGCAAGGTGATTACATATTGGTTAAATAAGCTGTCTTTTGTATTTAGGCTACAGTTTTGTGCCAACAGATGAAATGCAATGAGTCTTCTTAGGACAGCCTTTACAGTGGCAGTTTCCAGTCTAGTTTGACTCTCCTTGCTGTCCTGTTCTCCTTAGTAATTTGGCAGGGAGGGGTGTGAGGAAAGCAGAGGGGGATCAGAAAGGCATGGCTTTTTTCATATGTGGAACTTACTGAAGAAAAGTTGGGGAGGGTGACTTTCAATTTAGCTGTTTAGACATTTCTCATTCTCTTCACTAGACTGTACAAGCGATGGGGACTTTCCAGCCATTTGCATACAGTCTTAGAACAGGTTGGTTAAATAGCCATGGAGACCTAAAAATAGCTGGGGGGAAAATAGTGGCACCAAATAAGCTGTAACTCAGTACAAATCCACTGTGGACTAATGAAGAGACTGAAGTCCTCTTCCTATCCACAGAAAATGATGGGACATTTACCCTCAGGCTTTTATTCATATAGTGAAATAAAAACAATGTGGAAATACTGCACAACAGGTAAGAAAATCATAGAACCATAGAATTGTTTCAGTTGGAAAGGGCACTTACAGGTCATCTAGTCCAACTCCCCTATGTTCTAATTATGAACCTGTCCCTAGAGCCATTAATCCTCTTGGTTGCACTGCCAAACTTGTGCTTAGGTTTGTTTTTACCACTTTTGCTTCTTTGTTCCTGTCAGAACGTAGAATGGGTGCAGTCACTGAGAACAGAGCAAGTGTGGGCAATAGCTCAGGAAAGGGGATTGAGGAGCACAGACTAAGAGTAAGCATGTAACATGCTCCCAGGCAGCCAAGTCATGCTACATTCAGGTCTCTTGCCCAAGTAACTTGCCCTTACTTACACACAGCCAAGTGAGAATTCACATCATCAAAGCTTGCTCTCAGCCTTTGCAGCCTCCTGTGCGACTAAACCTGGTGTTTGCCTCAATTGCCTACCAAACAACAAACCATTGCCTTATTTGTGGAGAGAACTCCAGTTCCCCCTGAAAAATGGTCATGCAGCAGCTAACACTGAAAACAGAGAGATTTAAATTCTCTTTTCACCCGTTCACCTTTATCAAGGAGTCTGAGGTTTACTACCATGTTCTCTGGCCCAGCTTTTAAGCCAGTAATCACTCAATAGCTCTTAACACAGCCTCTATGATAACCATTTCCAAAACACTTGAAAGGCTCAGCTTCTCCAAAGAAGACAGATTTTCATCACTGTGGAAAAGAAACACCAAGGCAAATTCCCATATGCCCACTTAGTTGATGAAATGCCCTTTTTATTGCACTGTGCAAGCTGTGGCCCAGGAAGCCAGCACCCAGAGATGAACTTGTCATGCCAGCACAGCCCAGATTGGTGGCACTTGCTAAGTGTGATGTAAAAGGATGCAGCACAAGGGACAGAGGCCAGACAAGAGATTTACACATTGCTTATCAGGATGAAACACCTACTAAAAGCTCTCCCAGATAGAAACGGCTTCTGCTGAGAAAACAGCAAAAGTAAATAAATAGCTGAGCCAGCTGATTGATGTACAAATGAAGAGCACAGCACAAACAATGCATTTACATGCATTTACCAGTTTTGGAATTAACTAAAAGATGTATTATAGCAGAAAGACATAGCAATAAACTGAATAATTACTTTCTCTGGCTCTGAAAACTGAGGTTGACTTTGGCAGCAAGGGAGGCTAAATCTGCTAAAAGACTGTTTGCACATCCCAAGGTCAGCTATTTTCAGCCTGCAGTTCTTGTCAGCTTTGGGCTGAGACCCCAGCTTTTCTTCTCTTTCTTTGACCCCAGCCTGTAATTTATAACTTTCTTATTAACAAAAGGATTGTTAGAAATGTTTCATCTGCCACATAAGTTTGTTAATACCGTTGAAGAGACAACTCTAAGTAAAGGGACTGAAATGTATTCATATGGTACAAAGGAGAACCAAACATAACTGGAACACACTGGAAGAGAAGTTGGAATATTCAAATAGTATGAGGTTTTCCAAAACTCACGTCCAGGTGGTATCTGGTACAAATTTATTTCTAACCTTCCAGAAGTAGCTGTCTTAAGTGAAAATTCTCACACTACTCAACAAACAGACAAAATTACCCTGGAAAAGTCTTAGGACGCCTATGGCCATCTTCATCACTACTGAACAGTTACAACTATGGAATCACGACAGTAGACAAAAAGTGGCACAAGTTAATTTTAACCCCTGATCAGGCCTGGGATTAACATTGCAGCATGCAACTTCAATTATTTACAGTCAGATTGGCTCAACTATTAGAAAGCCAGCAGTGCAATATGAGGAACAAATACATCAGAGCATCATGAATGAAGTAGTACTCTTCTTATACTCAATTACTCTTCCTGGTAAATGAAATACAGATTGGAAAAAATATTATATAAATATAAATAAAATCTCATTTTGCTGAAAACAAAAGAAATATTTTTAAAATGGAAAAATGGGTAAAATACAAGAACTTGTACAACGATGGGTATCAAACTGCAAGTCTTAGAAAAATCTGATGCTTTCAGCTCCTTTTGAAATGCAGACCGTTACCCAAAAGAGAGTGGCAGCTAATCAAAATGACAGCAGTAGTTGAGCTTCCATTTCTCACTTCACATTGTCTAATTTGTGCCCTTGGGTGCTCAGTTTCTTATTCCTCAGTTCTCTAAAATCTGATGTTCCACTTCCCCCTACTTGCAGCCAAATCTGTCAGAAACTGTGAACTCGAGATGAGAAACAATGCTCAATCCCTACTGAAACAAAACAAGATGATAAATATCTGTGTATGATCAAATTAGAGAGGCATTACCGTGGGCTATAATGTGGCCCCTTCTCTTCACAGCCCCACCAGCTGTGATTAAGATGTGCTTCCGTTTGCTTCATACAAAGTGCAACAGAAAAAGTTTGTCCTATTCCTTAATGAAGTGACACCAGATTGGTAGCTCCAAGCTCAGGCTCATTTTTGTCAGTCACTGTACCTGATCAGTTCCAGAACAAATCCACCACAAAGTACAAACTCTGCATAAATTTCTGATAAACATATATTTGAGCATTTTAAAGTAAAGTGAAAAAATCTAAGCTCCTGCTCAATAGTGCCCACTCAAGGCATTCACATAGAAGGAGACAAGTAATGAAATTCATCTGAGGTCCATGACCTGACAGAAGAGAAGCTGGAATTCAGCTCCCACCTCTCCAGGCAGCGATGAGCACAGCAGTTCAGAGCCAAATTCGTTCCCTAGCTTTGATCTAGCTTTTGTCTGTCATTTAAAAGAGACAAGAGAAATCTGGAGAAAAAGTTGATCTAGAAAAGTTTATGCTAGCCAATAAAATAAACAGAATCACTGGAAAAGTTCTCAAATCTATCTTATTCTGTCTCAGACAGACCTTGTTTGATTCTAAGTTTACTTAGAAAAGAATTCTACTGACTTAATGACAGAAGGCAGCTTCTCTTTCAGTCTGGATTAGAGATCTGATGGACAAAGTGAAATAAGAATAGAAACAGCATAAAATGATCACACATCGGGAGAGTCCTTTTTTCTAAAGTGACATCTTTAAAAAACAGCTCTCAGATGAGTAGATGGCTTGCTTTTATCTGCAACATGAACGGTTTTAACTAACAACATTCCTTTCCTCCAAGTTTCACTGCTCCTGTCTTTAATTCCAACTGGTTTTTGCCCCTAATCAAACCATGGTGCTGGATCAAATGCTGCTGCAGTTAAGATCAATGCTAATTTGAAAAAATTTCAGCAGAAGCAGAATTTGGTCAGTAGATTCAGGGGGCACGCTTCAATATCTTTTGAAGTTAAGCATCGTATTTATTATCAAATGACACTAATTGTCTACATATAAAAAAAAAAGGGGACTTAAAATAAATCCTTTTCAGCACTGACACTTGTGGATGTTTTTTCAGGAACTATTTAACATCATATAGGAATACATTTATTTACAGTACAGGAAGAACACTGTATCATTTACAAAGCACAGGGGAGAAGGAACAAAGTTACTCCCAAGTTAGAATTTCACTGATGTAAGTATACCAACACATAGCCCAAACTTTGCAAAAGCCTAAATTCTAAGTAGTCAGAACATTTTCCTTTTAATACAGAAGCATCTCTCTCTCCATTATTTTTTTTAAATAAATGAATCAATGCAACTGTTTTCTGTTTCTGTATCCAGCCATCACATACTCTCTGAATACATTCGCATCTCACATGAACTTGTTTCTATTCTGCATTGCCTCTTTTTTAAAATAAAAAAAAAATGTTATAACAATGTACACTCAACTTTGTATTGGCATTCAACATCTAAATAACAGAAGTAAATTGGAAGTTGCACAATACTTACTGTTAGCAGGTTAATTAAATCCATATTAGGCTCTAAGTGATGAGAAGCAGTTTGCAGGGAAACCAGTTCGTTCAAGGTGATGGAAAGCTGCTGCATTTTCACTATGTTTACTTTATTTTCATCTATCCAGTCAGGAAAAATGACATGGACAGCAATCAAGTCTTTCAAATGCACTCCTAAAATAGGAATTTTGAAGCCAACACAGTCAGCAAAAGCCTTGCGGTAGTTGCAGTAGTTTCCATTGGAAGAGACCAGCTCTGTCATTTCATTCCAGTCCTACAAATAGCCAAAGAAGCAAGTTCTTGTGAAAGCATTCTTAGCATTTCCTTAATCTGTTTTAATGAGCATAACTTGTGGCTGAGTCAACAGAGTTAATTTTCTCTCTAATACAGGCAATCTAGCAGAGAATCTCTGTGAGTTGATTCTTCTCCACTGAGAGAAACCCAAGCCCAGTCCCCTAGGATACCTTGCCAAGATCCAAGTATTGTGCCGGTGAGACCTGAACTGCAGAACTCATCAGACCTTCAAGAAGGGATGTTCTGCTCAATATCTGTACATTTGGTTGTCCACCATACCTTTGTGACTTCCGAAGACAGATGAGAATGAGTCTCTTTCAGGCGAGAAATAGAGCTATGGCTAAGACCTCCCACAACTGCCATCAGTGTGTTGAAGTTCTGGAGATGGAGGAGCTTCTGTAGAAAAGATGGATCATGAAAAAATAAAAATAAGGGTATGTATGGCAGCTATCCAGTATCACAGAAGACAAGCTAAAGGAAATGTCCTACCATTGCTGCATAGGAAACAACTAAGCCAAGGGATATAAGGGAATTCCGCAATTATTTTTTAAATTAGATTAGTTCCACAAGAAACACGTGATAATGATAGTTGGGAAACAGAATACAACAAAGAAAAAATACATTTTATTTTTTGTCTTCTAAAAAATGCAGATGTGCCACACCTGGAAGAAATAAGTAGCAGTTATGTTGAACAGACTTTTCACTCAGGAAACAGCCCAAAGAGCACCCAGTTCACTTGTTTCCTGTGATCTCTATATTGTTGCTTCATATTGGAGGAAGGAGACTCATAAACAAGACATACCTGTGCAACATTGATAAACTTCGTGATCACTTCTGCCCTTTGCAGGGGTGTCGGCTTGCTGAGAACCATGAGCTGGACCCACTTGGAGATACCATTAAACAAAGCAATAGATCTCTCCAAAGTAGGATTGTTCTCCAGGCAGCCATGGATCACATAGCTTTGGTAGTCTGTGAACTAACAAGGAAAGGGAAAGACATTTTCAGTAAAACGGTGGACAACCTCAGAGTCAAATTGAAACTTTGATATTTTTTCCCCGTCAAAGCTGTTCTTGTTTAGAAAGTGACTACAGCTGATGCTCAGCAGACCCTGCTGCATATCAGTACTTTCTTAAAATATTTTCTTTTGTCTTATTTACAGGTCTTGCTGTATCACTTACAACTTCAGTATTTGAATGCCAGGTTAATACTAAGGCATGCATGATGAATATGATTACTACTTCTATGGAATCATTTTTCCCCACGATTTACTCAACACCTGAGACATTTTATTTTGTGCAGTTTTACTTGACATCCTCATACAATGATACTGTATAGGAATGACCTAGTGCTACAAGTAAGAAGCATATAAAAAGGAGTTTTCACTTCACTCCAATACCTGATCAAGAACATTACTGATGTAAAGAGCAAAATCTGGGCGCTGCTGAAGTCAACAGGAGCTCCTAACAAGAGTCTGAACTGCAACTCAAGAAGCTAACTATGCATCAGTTTTCCTATGTCTTCCTCCTACATCAACTGATCAATTCGTAGCACAAGCAGCTAGTTCTGCTAAATCTTGCTTATTCTGATATTGTTCATTCCTGTGTGTTCATGGATATTGTTCCACACGGATGGCTACCACTAGAATTAGATTTCTTGAGAACTTCTGGAAAGTACTCTTCAGCTCTCCCTTAAATTTGGATTTTCAGAAGCTTATGATGGAATTTCAGCTTGTGTAGGGAGCTGTAGCAATACCAGCCAACACTGACTTCTTGGTCATCTTAGCTGCTAGAACTGCCTGCTAGAAGACAATATGACAGCATATTCTCTTACACAGTAAATGAAATGTAAAAAAAATGTTTTGTTAAACAATATGAATGCCCTTTCCTAGGACAGGGTCCTATCTGCAAACAACAAAGTTGGAGGCTTCTTACAGAAATTCTCCTAAAAGATTTATGCTCCAGAAAAGTGAGATGTTCAGCTAGTTCAATGGGCTCCAGATGATCAAAAAGTAGGCAGGCTTTTCCTTTCTTAGAAATCTTCTTCCTCTGTGTAACTCTTCTCATCCAGTCATAGGAAGGTCTGCAAGAGAAAATTAGACACAATTCTCATTTCTTTTTGGGGAGTAGCCATCAGTATACATAAAATTATCAAGAGATCTATCTGTGGCTTCTAGCAGACAACACTCAGCATAAGATAACGTTCAGATGTATAATGAGGAGTAAGGATTTCAGAGATCTCCTTTCTGCATAAGATGCATGATATCAGGTTTCCATCGGAAGAAAAGGACAATGTACAGGAGGCTGTAATTCAAAAGTGCCTTGGAAATACAAGAAAAATAAGTCAAATTCTGAATAAGACAAAAAAAAAAAAAAAAAAAGCCACCTTCAATAGCATCAAGAATTAATTTTAACTCTGTGAGACCACAAGTCCATAAAATAACAGAACGGTAGAAATGCCATCAGTTGAACAACCACAGTAAGGTGTTTGTGCATAACTATGTAAACCGTTTGCTTACAAGTAATGGAATAACTCCTACCCAAATACAGCAAAGGCACTCCATAGAGCAGAAAGAGGTTCCTAACTTAAAATTTTTAAATAAGATTGAAGAGCTAATATTCATGTGATTTCACTGGCATTCGTGCACAAAATTTTGTAGACTTCACTGAGATTAGTTGGGCCGTCCTTCCAGGTTGCTACGCTGATTTTTAAATAAGGAAAAACAATTTTGACTGTGCCATATTTTAAAAGAAAATCTACAATATCAGGTGAGATATAAGAGCCTGTTTGGTGATGTTTAGAAGGTAACTTCTTAGAAGTCATGGTAATAGTAGTATAAGCACTTCAGTGCAAGAAAATTACACATGTCAGTGCTAAAGATTATTGAATTAAATAATAGAAAATAGCACACAGAAAGGCATTGGACAAAACAGGCAGGTTACAGATAAGAGAACAAAAAAGCTTCCATAAGAAAATACAAGATTTACACGATGTGCCAATCACTGCGTTGCTTGTTATTCTGTATGAAAAGTAAAAGGAAGAAAGTAATATTAATCATTTAATTAGCACTAGCTTTTTGAAAAGAATCAGGAAAATTATTTCTTTACCATTTATATTGAATACTTATGCACAGATAAGAGACTTCAGTGTCAAACTACATGTAGAATTCCAAATTTAGATGGTAAGAGAATTTTTTTTTTGTAAATGATTGCTTGCTCTCTCAAGATTAGGATGGCCCTTAATACTTTCATATTTTGGACAGAATTAGAATTCTGCTGCTACAGAGAACAGAGGTAAAGATGATAAAGCTCATGACATTCTTACATGCTGGAGATATCAATGAGATCGATGTGATCCTCATAGCCAAGCTGGCTGGCTAATTCTCGAAATTCTTCAGTCAAACGAATCAGCCCGAGATCCAAGTTAAATTCTGCAGGAAATTCCAGAATCCAGTATCTGAAATTGACATAAATAAGTTCAGAAACACCTAAGGATTCAGGTGTAATATTTAGTGGCTGTACAGAGATACTCACATTTTAATCAACAGAACTTAAGAATATTTCAGACTGAATGGTTTTGGGGCAGAGAGGGTGTGCAACCCCAGCCTGCTGATGCTGTACTTCTCTCTGACATTAATGACAAAGACTTTAAAAATAAACAGTCACGGACCTAGAAAAACAGGGGCTGTACCACTGCTCTCTTAGTAGCTGAATCAACAGTCTCAAGTAACTCCAAAATATTCTAGCTTATAACTGACAACAGGATCGTTGACATCATGCAATCAAATTACCATATAATTTCCTTCATTTAATTCACCACAGTACCATACAGGAGCACTCTTTTGAAATGTCAAATTAAAAGATGCATGGGGTGACACACAAAAGGCAGCCACATCACACCTGCCCCAACTCACACTGCCAGGGCACCCAAATGACTTGCATTTGTCCCTTGTTTAACTGAGACGCTGCGCTCAGAAAAAGATTTTCCAGTGAAAATGAAAACGTGAAGTTAAAAGTGGCAGCACTACCACGATAACCATGTAAACAAGGCAATTCCTCTTCTATTTAAGAGGGCAGGAAAAAGGCTTTGTCAGTGCTACTTTCAGTACCTCTCTCCCATTCCAACACAGTGATATAATTTAGTCATTTGTTTGAGGGAAGCAGGTTGTAGCGTGTTAGCTTAAAAATTCATACTTTCTATTTTATGGAGAAATGCTCCTAAACAAGCACAGCCTAACCAGGGACAGCTTTCCTGTGGAAAAAAAGTCAGAGACAATTAGGTGCAAAGATCAGAACAAATCTGATCTGTAAAAGCTTTGACATCTCTAACATACTCGTGTCATCATAAATTACGCACAGATTATTTGAACTGAAGCCAACAGCCCAGAGATAAACTTCCTCCACCAAAATAGATGATATATGGAAGTAAAAAGTGTCACTGTTCTGTGTGGCACTGACCTCATCTCCCTGTAAGAGGTGTCATGCTCAAACACCAGGTAATACACGGCACAAGGTTTCAATCAGCTGTACAGTACATGCACAGTTACATGTCTTAAGCACTGGTTCTGCTGAAACCATTGTTTTCAAAGCACAGTAATTCACACTTTACTACAGACTAGAGATCAAATAAAACAATAACTTTTTTAAACATTAGGAAAATAAATTACAATTATAGTATTCACAGCAAATAGAAAACAGAAGCGTGCCTACCTCATGAAGTAGCAGATTTTTAGTCTGAATTCATTGCAGTTCTCCCCACTGGCATCTCTATATGTATTCTAGTTAAAGAAAGCTTTAGGTGCCTTGATTCAGTAATGTGGTTTTTATCTACATCAGACAGTGACTCTAGACCAGTTGAACAAAACCAGTATTAAAAACTTTCCTTCAACAGACAACTACAGCATGATCTGATATTCATTCACTTACACAGTATCTTAAGACAACGACAATTTCTTGGCTGCCATTTTGGTTTTTGCCCTAGCAAAAATGCTCTATTGCACTGTTCTGAGTACTCTGCTGAACAATTTTGAAGACACGTAGGTACTTAGCTACCACTGAAAGCTCGTATTAGTCCAATACCAGCCTGCCACTATAAATTTGAAAAATTATCTTGGCAACATTTTTCCATTTATACAAAGATAATTCAAAGCATGCCTCAGCAAACTTGTTCTTATGGAAAATATCTACAACCAAAAGCCGAATGAAGCTCCTGGATTTCCATGTTTTAGGGTGAAAGAGTCAAACTCTGTTTGTTACTAATTAAGTAACAAATTTTTATATACAGTCGCAGAAACAATCTGCTTTCAACACTGTAATGCTGACTTGCAAGACTTCCTGAAAGGATATGTAGACAGAAGCTTGACAGCCAGCTCTGTGGAAGGCAGGTACCAGCGATGCATTAGAAGAAAGATTCTCGGCAAATGGCTGGAGCATTGATTTCCTCTGTCATCTGAAAAAAGAGCAACAAGGGAATGAACTTCTTAGCTGCGAACAGAGATGTCGTTCAAGTGGAGATAAAAAATATCTGAAGTTAAAATCTTGGGCCATTATTTACCAAACAGGACACAAAAGCAAAGCACACAAATCCTCCTTTAGAGGAAACTATTGCTAGACTGTAGTGCTGTAGGGAAAAGAAAGTCCAGACAACAGGCATGGACATGTCTAGCATATAAGCTGAATGAGTGCAATGAGACAGTGGGTTATACAAATAACAAATCTAAAGTTAGTCCACTGAAAGGGCAGGGAGATGGTTTATCCAAAACCACTTACAAGGTTTGTTTAGGTGCAGCTGCATATTAACCACTAGATTGTTTAAAAAGAGGGATCAAAAGCAACACTTCAGTCCATATGTGGATCACACCTCCAGCTGCTGTACAGACTCTCCCAGTTTCTGCAGTGTAGCCACTGAGGCTATGGAAGTTACTCCCTGGCTGATTGCCTGGCTGTTCACACTCCATAGCACCCACAATCCTATGTTATTTTCTCTCTGTTGCTATTTCAGTAGACAGTAGTCTACATGTGTGTATGAAACAGGAACCACATACAGACTAGAGCTGTCAAGAGAGCATGCATACATGGAAGAGAGATATTACTCCCAAGAGACATGAAGTATATTGGTTCTGCTACCTCTCACTAGGTATACAGGACAGCAGGTCTGATCATGGTCTACAAAAAATGGATATACAGAGATGCGGTATGCTCAGGAACCAAATCTGGCCCTTAAATATTTAATTCCTCTCATCTTCGGATGCTTCCTTCTCTCCAAAAGGGAAAAAAACTCCAAACCAACAGCCCTCAATCAAATCAAAGTCTGTCTTGTGTTCCAAGACACTTTAAATGTAGCTTTGTGAATTAAGAACCCATTTCAAAGCATATAAGTATATCCATGAACTCATCTCATCTGGCTATAGGGTGACATAATTCTTGATTAATGGCACTGCGGATCAAGGTCTACTTCATCATTTCTTTCCCTCAGACCTGGTACACTACATTTAAATAAGAGTAAAATGATTACGTGAGCCTTGAGTCAAATTATTTCCAATTATTGCATGATGATTTGAAAAATGTTTCAGAGTAACAACTGGTCAGAAAAGCAGCTGTGTAACCACTCAAGACAATGCCAGAAATAACTCCTTGAATCATTCAATTAAACATTTGTTTAGTTTTAAAACCACTATACACAACATTGCGCTTTACCTGTATTAAATTTTCTTAACACAATATGCATATGACTAAAATTCTGGCCTGCATAATTCTGGGACAAAATGAAACATGGAAAATTTTACAGAATGGAAATGTTTGCCAAGGGAAAGACTGCCTAAATCAGAGAACAGCGGGGGTTATGCTATAAGATGAATTCAAAGAACAACAGCAAAGCAAAGTATTGAGAATACTTACCAAACATTTCAATACAAGCGTTCAAAAGCTCATCTAATGTTGCAGCCTTCCCAAGTGTGTTTGACCCCATTGTTCTTCAATCGTTGTCAAAAAATAAGAGGCATTTTCACCAAGTAGAAAAATGCTTCTTCAGTTCTTCAGCTGCACAGTTTTTTCATTTTATTGTTGGTTGTGTTCTTATCTGGGCTTCCAGGAAAACCTGCAGAGAGAAAGTAAAGGAAATCATAGCTATATGGCTACATGAGAGAGTTATCAGGATGCAGCGTTTGCAGTTCAATTCATCTTTTCTGCAAACTGTTTTTATTCCCTCACATGACACAGACCATGTGAAAGACTGCTGTAAGATTTCTATACATTCCAGCTTGTGTTTTTAAGTGTTTTCCAATTGTCCACTAGCACAAAACACATCCCTAGCAGGGGTCATAACACACAAACCAGATGGCAAATGAGGACATGCATGTACGCTGACGCACGCTTTGTTCAGGTCATTCTATTTACACTTGATAAGTCACTTTTTGTTAATAACGCTGCTTTTGTGTTCCAAACATAAACATTTGCTTTTCCTAAGGTTACAGTCTCACAGCTGATAGCTTTTTATGCTAATGGTTTTAATTGGCATAGGCCACATAGAATGTTTAATGAAGGTCATAACAAACACTAAACTTGGACGCAATTTTTCAAGGAACCTGGAGATTGAATGCTACAGCTTTTTAAAATAGATCTTTCTATAGGAGCTGAGCACGCACAGAAGGCTGAATGTGTACAGAAACTTCTAGAATGTACCATACATCTACTATGCATTTAATTAGCAGATATCCATTTACGCCTGAAAGATGCAAAAAGTACTAATCCGAGATTTCAGAAATAATTACAGATCATGTTTAAAGAGTTGGTATTTCAAAATAATTTAGTCGACACTTTAAAAATAGGATTGAGGAAAGTCATTGAAGATTCCGTCTATCCCTTGAAGATTGCTGCACATGAAATGTAGGAGGGGAAGTAATTTGATCAGATTTCTTTAACCATTCCCTATAACACATAGCATAGGGCAGCACCATCCCTACCTTCTGTTAACAGCGTTAAGGCACCCTTATAGCAATCAACAAATAACACTCCATGTAGAATAGCAGTACTTTTATTTTCAATTGTATGACAGCTATTTAACTAGTAGATACCTAGATTCTAACACTACAGCCTACTCCCTATCTGACCACTAATGGGTTTTATGCTCATAATATTGCTAAAAGAAGGATGTAACGTTTCCACTGGAGGAAGAATTGGCTGGCTGGGGCTAAGCCACATATCCTCAGCTGAGCCAAAACATTATATCATATCTCTTGATCACAGCCTCCAACAACCACAACCATTACATCATTATTTGTGTGATTAAGCACTGTTGTTCTATTAGAATGAGAAATGTCTAGATTGTGCCATAAATAGTATCCAACCACAACACCACATCTAGAGATGGATGAGAAGAGCTCACTCAGCAGCTGCTCCATGTCAGAGCAGTCAGGTCCAACTGCTCCGTAAAGGACCCAGCGATGGACAGAGCTGAGCCATGAGCAGTGCTGGTTTTGACTCTGAGAGAGATTTAAGAATGGGAAAAAAATGTTGCACTACAGCAGCTGGGAGAGAGGAGTGAGAGATGTGAGAGAAACAGCCCTGAAGGCACCAAGGTCAGTGCAGGAGGAGGGCAGGAGGTACTCAAAGGAGTTTCCTGCAGCCTAGAAGCAGCCCATGGAAGAGCAGGCTGTACCCCTACAGCCTGTGGGCACCACACGGGACAGATCTCCACCTGCAACCAAGGAGGAGCCCAAGGCCCTGCAGTGGATGAGGCCTGAAGGAAGACACAGCCCATGGAGAGCCCCTGCAGGAACAGCCCTGGGTCAGAGCTACAGCCTGTGGAGAGGCAGGAGTTTCACCAGTCCTGTAGCACTTGCCTATGAACCAAACCGTGTTGTTAAGCATGTCATGCTGTATTTGATGACATATTACCATTATGGGAGGCAAAATTCCTTAATAAGTGAAAAGCAAAAATGTCTGCAGCAGTGTGTCCAGAGGTTAAAAGTTTGTAATGGACTGACGTACTAAACGCAGACTCCCTTACAAGTCTCAACCTCACCACGACCACCACATTGAACAGTCATTTGAACAGAAAACTTTCCTTAACATTCTCATGCAGCCTAATTGTATTTTTTATTCAATATTTTGGAAGTGCTAAGATGACATTGGACTGTCCTGAAAGATATGCTTAAAATGAACATGCAGGCTGTGAGCTCCTGTGGCAGATGCAGTCAGGTGTAATGCCTTATTTTTTAAAGAAACAGGATACACTGTCAGCTAACTTGTGGTCTCATGCAAAAGCATTGAAGGGCAAGAACAGAGCTGGGGGCACTAGTCAAGTTTTAACTGTTGGCTATTATTAGTAGTATAAACAGAAGTCATCACTTTTATTGCTGGAGGCTACTAAGGTGAGGTCCTCACCTGGAAGCTGCAGGAGTTTAACATAAAACCCTGATGTCAAGCCAATACAAATCACTGCGCAGGCACTTTCACATGAGTCCCATACAAGCTACATTGCTTACAGGTGCAAGCTAACCCAATAAGCTGGGTTTAAATAGGCTTACATTTGACAAATGGGGTAATATTTATTTAGCTGAACTGAATTAAAACAGCTTTTTAGCCAAACCAGAGTAAAGGTAGATGTAACATTTTCCCCCATCAGTTAAAAATGTGTTATTTTTCTTCTGCCTAGGGACAACAAATAGAGCCACGTGTAAATAGTTCAACTTTGACACACAGGCACCTCTATGGGTCTCAGCTCGTCTGTAAACTTTCCAGAGACCTGCATACAGGAAAATCACATTCTTTACAAGATTAGGACACTCTTTGGAAGTTTAAGTAAGTTAGACTTCTCCTCTTCTTCCCCTCCTCAAATGAATGCTTGCATTAGATGATTTCCACCACCTGGCTGCTGGGCAGAAACTGCTGAACGTGAGCAGCTGAACAAGGAAATCAAATCAATAGCAGCGCACAGAAAAATAAGCTGGAAAAAAAAAAAAATCAAGAATCTCATGAGAATGTTTATGGTAACTGCCCTTACTGCACTTTTTTTTGCTTTACCTTGTCTTGTTCACATCCATGGGAAGCTCTTCAGGACAGACCTCATCTACCGTCCTTTAGTTGTAGTGGAGGATCTCAGTATGAGGCCTTTCTTGCTATTAGCCTCCAATAGATTAGTGCAAATACCATAATAGGAATCCAAAATGGGACACATAAGGCTACACCTTTGCCTACACTGGTGCAGTCCAGACATCTGTCTGGGCTCAAATTGACACAAGTTGCCTAACGCATGGTTCCTTAAGTTTATGCTACCACACAAGCAATTAAATATTTCTTGTAGGTTATCAGTACTGGTTTATTTATTACAGTACATGCAATTCCATGTCTAGAAAACTCTAAGGAAGTTACATTCTTGGTCAAGTTTCTCCAGCTGACACATGCAAAAATTGTTCTAAGCAGGAAAGCACAGTGACAGTGTGGGCTGTCAGGCAGCCTAATGCCACTGTTTCTGTCACAGTACATGACTTCAAGCATCACATGCTTCAGAATGGCACATTGGCTTACCAATGACATTTGTCATGTGGCGTGGAAACACAGAACAAGGGGAAGATTGTTGCACTGCTCCTTGCATGCAGGATATGAGCCTTGCTGGAAGCAGGAGAGGAAAGAAAAGTAAATCTGAAAGTCCTGGGTTCTTCCAGTGTGATTCACCAGTATTTATTCACCTTTGCTACACACCTTCAGACAGTAGTAGTCCAATTAACCAGGAGATCCTTGATAATCGCCTTCACCTTATTACTTTAATTCACTTTTTCTGGATCAAAGTGGAACTTCAAACTACACTAAACAGAATGTTTACTCCACCTTCTTCAAAGGAAGAGAGGATGGGACATGGCTAAATGCATAGTGCTGATGAGTAGCTAGAGCCAAATCTCATATTAACAAGAGACATCCACTGCACGGGGATGTTAGTGATTCTATGCCTCTATGAGCTCTACAGGATAAAGAGTCAACTTCTCCACTTCATTCACCTACTGCAAACTAGCCAGACTGTCCCCAGCTAGCGGCCAGGCACCCATATCCACTTGCACTCCATTCCCTGCTTTGCAGATTACACTTAGTGCTTTCAGTGAGATACTGAACAGCGTGGGAAGTCAGGATCAATGCAGAACAGTTTCTACCTGCTGCTTTTTCTCTTTCACTCTTGTCTTATGCTCCACTGTGGCTCTTTTATTGGCTGTAGCCCCTTCACAAGAGTACCGGCTCCATCATGAGCTTATCCATGGTCTCAGTTCTTTCAGGGATGTACCTGCTCTGCCACAGAGCATCTTCCAGTTCTCTAACCTTGCTATTCTTTCTGTTCTTTCCTCCTCTTCATGTTTTCTGTCCCTGCTCAGACTTTTTCACCAAGAGCCTGGCTGATGGGCTCAGCTGTGGCCCAGAGTATGTCCTGGCTGGAACAGCTATGTCGAGCACAGGGCAGCCTATGGCCTCTTCCTCCCACAGAGATCCCATCTGCAGCCCCCCTGCTGCCAAGCCTTTCCATTGGCATCTAACACATCCTCTAAGGGATGAGCTTTTGCGGCTCTAAGATAAGAGCAAGCAAGTTAAAAATTGTGAAATGTATTTCATTGTGTTCAGTTCTGAGAGAAGAGTCCTTTGGGCTAACTACTTTCAAGTCATTGCATGCCACTTAATTAACACAGATAGGTGTTATAAACAATTTGGAGGCTTTCTGAAGGAACAGGGGTTAAATGAATTGGACCATAGTTAAGAAACCAAGTGGCAATATAGATCTGCTCATATGCATTACCGAACTATTAGTTCAGAGCCACGTAATACCTTGTAGACATTCATAAATTGGAGTACGGAGTACAATACATACTGACCTAAAACAAAAGAGAAGCTTACAGAAATCACGAGGAATGCTAATGGATAGTCACAGGACCAAAATACTTTCAGTAATCAGAAAGTCACTTGATCAAGACCCAAGCTGCTTAGACATCATTTTGTTTAGCATTCTTACCTCTTACTGGGAAATGTAACCAAGATTTCTGACATAACAGAAATAAAAATAGGTTTCTTCATATATAAGCACTGCAAAATAATGGGTAAATTGATAACTGGATTTCT